TGGTTTGGTGATAATCAGTCGTGCATCACTAATCCCAATTGATTTATTAATCACAGATCTCATTGATAGTCACATCAACTCTTGTTTGATATTTTCTTACAAGATTCTAGACGACCCTCTTCATCCACTACACCCTGATCTATCGTCTTGTCGTTCCCATCCGTCCACACGCTCCTCATTTCGACAGCTACCCTCTCGCATTAACATTTATAAAAATTCCCCTGTACCCTACCTGGCCCGACTACTCACCAAAAAGGAACAGGTCTCAAATGAACTACGTCAAATGCTTTGTACATGATACGCATATCACCGCCCTTGTTTCCCTTTTGTTTTGATTATTTTTATTTCATTCTGCGCGACGAACAATGTAAACTTTTAACTGAAATGTAAGCATATATGCTTACACAAGTTACAAAAACAATACAATACAATACAATACAATACAACCAGAGAAAAACTACTTGATTCGCTGACACGGAACCGTTCACCTGAAAACATCCACAATCTGAGATCTATAACATTCACATAAACACAATGTTTTCTTTATAGGGATGAAGTTGCAGATTCCAACAAGAAGGGTACAAAATCCTCAAACTCGTGTACTGTTTGAAAACTTTTATGAATAGTTTGACGAACTTTCAGTCTTATCGTGCGTTGGAAAATTCCAAATCGCCAATACATCGGAGAATAATCATCTCACTGAAGGACACATCGCAAGATAGCTACACATTTTGCTGCTTCATTATTGCATTTCTAAGGACCAATATAAACAATTGGAACGGAAACACCCCAAATGAACGTTCACAAACTTGGGACTCCACTCAGATCAATACTGCGTGCGTAAAATTTGCCGTATCACAAGGTCGGTTAATAGACATTCTTGATCTCATTCGTAAGTCCATTTGCTATCTCCAATATTTTGAAAACATGACAATGTATTTGATAGATGTGCACCCACATTTTATCGCTTTATGAAACAATTGATGTTTTCACATTATATCTCTTCGAAGATTTCCCCCCTTAATATTCCTCTAAATTCCTTAGGAGAACTTATTCTTGTTTGCAGAAAACATTCGTTTTGAGTTTGAAGGGACCACATGCAAATAGATGATGGTGTGGCAATGGGTCCATTTTGGCAGATCTGTTTCTAGGACTGGTTCAGAAATAAACGAAGTGATATTATTCCTAGTTCACCACGTACAAACGTCATGCGGATGGTATTTTGCTTCCAACAGATGATAAATATTTTAAAACAGTTTTTCAACATTTTATCTCAGTCCATCCACACCTCTTTGTATCTCATTGTGTAGACACCAATGGTGTTCTAGCGCTTCTAGACCTAAAAGTTACGAGGCGATTAAGTTGGATGTTGCAATGCTCAGTTTACAAAAAAGTGAGATTAAGTGGTCAACACCTGCACTTTTCTCAGATTTCCCCCGTGATTTAGAAACGTGGGCTTGTGAGAACCCAATTTCATCGAGCGAGAAATATTTGTTCTCAAATACACTAAAGGAAGAAGAGGATTTCCTAGGGAGAACATTGCTAAACAATGGCAGCCCAGGAAGCTTTATAGGTTTATATTATATATTTTATAAATCCATGTTTATTCACGGTAAACCATCCCCAAAAGGTAATCCAATCACAATCGTTAGCAAAAGGGTCATCTACCTAAAGCTTGCGTTCAAAGTTGACAACATTTACAATTATGTGCATCGTAAGTTGAATTGAGTCAGCTCTAAACCGTACAATCCCAACTGCTCAACTCAGACTCATTGCTTGATTTGAACAAACGTAAACATGGCAGGCAAATCGGTTCCGTCTCAAACACTGTGCCAGTTCACCTGCAGTTGCGGTGACATATATATATATATATATATATATATACGGAACAAACCATCAACTTTCATAACAGATGACCGAACATATTCCATTGCGGTTGATGAAATCCATGACGCAACCGATAATTGATGGTCAAGTGATTACATGAAATCCAGGGTCAACTGTTGCAAAACATCCCATGATGACAAGACACACAGTTAACCCCAATTCGTCTTTCAAACCACTATTACGTAGTCGCATTGCTAAACGTTTGGAAATAAGTGAAGCGCTGCTTATTTGATCAAATGTGTACCTATATGTTTTAAGTGAAAGATTGAGCAGATTAAACGAAATGTTAAAATCTCGTGACCTTTGTTTTCTTTCTGTATTGATGAAATGGATTAAGAGGAATCAATGTTTCCCATTTATGATAAATAGATATAATAGATATAGATAATAGATATAATCTCAAACCACATCAGCAGTCTATGGCGCCTCTCTACAGATAAAGGTAGTCCTCTTTATCGGTAAACATTGGTTTGTGTTGTATCAGCACTTTTAGATACGAACACTATCATGGTCACCATGTTCAATAAATCGATTCCCTTGAAGCACCCGGAAGCAGAGTGTGCTCAATTCCAGAAACATGTGATCTCAATTTTTACAGTTGTCAACTGTTTCGATCACAGCACAAATTATTGGTAAGAAATTACCATATTATCATTGCATTAACTGCAGTAAAAGTAGATCCGAAGAAATAATTAAAAGTATTGTTTTCACTCGTAACATTCACAAATTTACTGGAGGTATGGCTTTTCACTTCTACTCTAGCATCATTTCATACTTCTAGCCGGATCGTTGCGAAAATGCTTAAAATAAATTCCTTCGGTTTATCTTCACGTTTATGAAGCAACGAGCATACTCGTTCATGCTTTGAACTGATTGCTCGCCAGATCACAATATCAGGAGGTAGATTATAAAAATCCGCTCAAAAAAGCCGCAGTTCGTTGAGCAGAATTGCATTATTACTATTCACGAATAATTGTGTTAACAGAATGTTTATATTGACAGAATCAACTTCGGGTTTAAGTTTTTAAACACTGTTTCAAGCGTTTTAGAGTCTTTTGAAAAATTCGAAAACAGAAAATTGATAGATAGATGTAAAGAGAGATGGAGGGGTAAACGGATATATATATGTATATTAAGATGGAAAGATAAATAGATAGATAAGTAGGTAAATGGCGAAAGATAGAAACTCATTAGTTAGCAGTCTAAAGAGGCCCTTAAACGACAGGCAAATGTGAAATGGCAGTGAGTTTGCTTAAGAAAGGTATATATCGACATGCACCAATTCCGTGATCAGTTGTTTAGCAGGCGGGTGAACGATGTGCAATGCACCGTTGCTGGGTTACAAGTGTCATTTGAGGTGTGTAGTACCTATAAGAAAGTATCCAATGGAATAGAAAATTATCCAATCTACCTAGGTCACTCTTTTGGACAGAGAAAAAACCTAGACTGTATCATCGCTCGAGTCTAATGAAGGGTAGCATGAGCAATGTGTAACTGATCTCCTTGACGATGTAAACATTTCCTGCGTGAAGTTTATGATTTTTTTGGATAACAGTCGATGCAATGTTTCACGGACATTTAATAGATGAGAATTGATTCTCTATTTATTTCATTTTTTATTTTGAAAAGTATTCAAAGGTACAAAGAATCCATTTAACATCTAATTTGCCTAATTTAATGTGACGGCAAGCTTTTTTGCTGCTAAGCAAGGACTTGACGGCTAGCTGAACACTGAATATACGAGTAAAACTTGCAATACGTGGCGAGCGAACAACAAAACCTACAAGAACAAAAAAGTATCTTGCGGAACATTTTCGTGGATTCCATGCCAAAGAGAATTGAAACGGTCCATAAGATTGAGAGTAGGCCCTTCGACCACCCATTTGCACTAGCTAGTGCGTTACTTTGATGCGTACTGAAAATCCCTTTAATCCTTAGATTAAAATCTAGCCTGATTTAGGTTAACTAACCAGAGGTACAACTGGTCATCAACTGAATTTCGAGCATTTCTATCGAACAAGGAGGAGTTAAACACATGGATTATTCTGCACCGGCCCTGTCATGTACTGCTCCTTATTGAAAGCACAAAGTCAACTATATCGGTATTTTTATAGCTGTTTGCGGGAATCCACGGATTTAATCGAGGGCCTTTTGCAAATGTCTTGGGATAATTGATTTGAACCGATTACCGAATAAATACTGTTCATAAATATCTTCTTATCCAAAAATACAATAAAAGAAGTGTTTTACCTCCTTTATTTATTGATTATATTTATATACAATCAATCACCGCACACCTGGCTTACGGTGATGCTTGCCGACACGATACTCAGTGAATTTCGCAATTATTAACGAGTTTCAAATCACAGACAACCGACAATTGGATTAAAGTCTGTCACTTTACTGTAACAATAAGATTATTGTAAGAAGATGGATGATTATCTTTCCCACAGGTTTCCTCTTAATTTACGGTTTAATGTCTCACCAATTTCGGCCGCAGCTCAAAGAACATTGGACAATTTTTTCTGTGTACTGATTGGCCGAAATGTTAACGATGATATCTGTCACCTGATTGGTCAGTTTCGTCGAAAATAGACGAAAAGTACTTGTGTTAGAAAGCCAAGATAGTTCTATATTTGATCACAATTTTCTCACTGCACTTTATGCATTCACCATGAATGCTTCATTGCCAGTGACGGCGATTTCTGACACACGATATTTATTTGAACATTTCCAATTCGATCCAAATGATGAATTACTGATTTTTCACCAGCACGGTCCACTATTGCATCAGGCCATGTTTCAATGCTTGGATCTACGTGATCTTGTAAATCCACAACTAAATAGTTGGTTAAATATGATGCATTTGGAGCATGTCGTCGGCAGGAATATCTCGCAGATTAATGATGATTTACATTGGTGCGAATGGGCACAGATTGCTTGGTTTTCCAAAGCATTTCAAGTGATCTACGAACGGTCGTGGCAAAAACAAATGGCTGTGCTGTTTTCCACCTACATCTTCCCAGTGATAGCTTTTCTCAATTTGCTCAGTCTAGGCCTTACACTGTTTGGTGTCTCACGGTTATTGGGACCGTATAAAATTCGAGATAAAAAACACCTAATTCATCACGATTATGATCTGATTCATGTTCCGGCCACATGGCCCATATTGGTGACATACTGTTGGATCGCCATTGCCTGTGTCCTCATCATTGATCTCCGTGGACTAATCTTTGCACACCTACCTGCTTACTGCAATCCACTAAACTTTGATTTGGGCTGCCGTGTGATTACCTACTTGAGAAATGTATTTCGTTACACGCCCACGTGGCTACTTGCGGTGATGCTTGCTGATCGAGTACTTGGTGAATTTCGCCATTCTGAACGAGTAGTAAATCACACACAACCAGCAGTGGTAACTGTGGATGATATTGATCGGAATAACACTCACCTCTCAATCAATGAAGAGCCCTGCCGGTCGAACAAAATCGTTCCCATTTCATCAGCATTGACAGTGAATGATCATGGAGTGAAGTGCAAGCGTAGCAAAAGGAGCTCACAAACAGGTTGCAAATGTGGCCTATTGAACGATATCCTCTGTGTGTATCGTGGTCCTATTTGCTGTATGAGCTTAAGTGCAATACCCACGGCAGACACCGTCTCGCACTCGAAACATTTGGATATCTTGCGCACGGGATCGGGGACCGCATCATTTCACCGACCCAGACCGTCGACATGTGCCAGATCTGATTGGTTGGAGGTTGGTGCTGGACGAATTGGAGGCTATTTGCTGGTGGGCACCACTGTCTCCGGATTGTGTTTGATCAACACTCACACTATTTGGCTGTATGAAATTAATCGAGATTGGAAGAAGTGCATGTTAACAGCCGGAAATTCCGTTATTCTAGAGGAATTTTATCCCTATTTCACTCAAGTACGTCAGTTTTAGATTTTCCCTTGCGAATAGGTCCTCTTCAACGTAATGGCTGCAAATTGTTTCATTCTAAAATTTGCGTATTTCAAAGTGAAAAGGACTTTAAATTATTGTATGATCAAGAAATTAGCAGAGGACATCCTAATGAGTTCTCATGAGTTGTTGAGTTGACATCTTAGTTGCGACGCTTCAGGAGCACAGGGTAGGAGAAATAATTCAATAATGGTTTCGTTGTTTTACATTAGAACGTATTCCTCAAGTACTCGTTAAACTTACTTGAGTGGAATGAATAGTTATACCAATCTAGCTATCGATTTTTATCCGTATTGTAACACAGGCCTCTGGAATCACGTAGTGTCAATTGCTGCTATAAGTTTTCTTCGGTTTTGAGTGCAAATGCTTGATGATACTAGTCATTTTGCTTCCATTTGTTAGAAAGATCACTAATTTATTATGTTTAATCATAAAGAAACGTTCATTTAAATTTATAACCTCCAGTTTGAGCTAAAAGGTCTTCGATTTTCACGTGGGAGATGGTTGAATATTGTTAGTATCGGGACAGTCAACGGTTGATAATTGTGTGGTGAAATGAATGGTGGAGTCAACCGATCAGTTGTTTAGATTTGCAAAAGTTAGACTGCGAATCGTTTATCATTGGATCTAGATGATTGCATAATATATCTGAGAACGACGAGAACGACTGAATGAACCTTTTGAAAATGAAATGTAACTCCTAATGGATGGAGTAAAACTTGCTTGGAGAGGAAACCCTACATGAAAACAGTTGGTTTGATGTAAGCTATTCGGAACGGAGGAAATGAAGAGATTCCAATTGTCCATACCTCTCATTTTATCGACTAGTTCAAGCAGATTAGGAATCCTTATAGTGACAACGTTCCAGAAAGATGACTCCATTCGACGGTTTCCTGATTCTTGCCTAGGCACAGGCTACACATATCCTGGTGGCATTCGTGTTGAATGAGCTGTCATATTAGCTTAGCAGCATCATAGGTATTCAAGCCATGGGGAAGTTCTGACTCACTTGGCCAAAACCTAATACTCGTTTATGTTGGTCCAACTGATCATTTGAAACAAACTGATTTAAGGTCAGTCAGAAGCAGTTGAACACCAGTTTGGGTAGAACACAGATAGACGTGACACATGAGTCTCGTGATCGTGGCATCGCTTGCAGACCGATGAATGTATCAAAAAGATAAATGTGATCTAGAGTTAGATGAACCACATACATTTTTATCAATGTATGTGCATGTGGGTGTATGTGTGTAAACCACTGTGTTGTTTGGTTTATGACGACTCGTTATATGCACATATCGCATGTGTTATATAGAAACATGAACAACAAGCAGTGCTCAATGCGCACAATGTAGAAGTACGAAATAAAATGAGCCAGTGCACTTGTGTTAATTTGTGCAAGTCTTTCTCGATGCGTCTCTAACAGGACGGGGAATGAATGAGAGGGATCTGCAACTAATAGCCAATTATCTTAATTGCATCGTTTGATTGTTTTTTTACTGAAAATGATTGAAATCCACAAGGCTCTTGAAACCAACAATCTTGAAGATACAAGCGTAACATTAGGAGTGTTGATATTAACAAAGGAAGTGTCATGCACAGTTACGAACGCAATTTGGCTAGATCTTGAAGTAGAATCATTTTCTGTGATAGAAAAGCAACGAGGATTTTGAAGCATGGAGTGCCCTGTATCTATTTCATCAATATAGAAAGAAAACAAATGTTACGAGATGTTAACATTTCGTTTAACCTTCTCAATCGCCTACTTAAAACAAACAAGTATATATGTATATATGAAACGTGGGGTTGTTCAATTACGGTCAATGTACGTGTGAAAGCATAAAAAGATCAATAAACATAGAAGTTGAATGTCAACTCCACGGTGAGTGGATTGTTGGTATCAAAACGTTTGGGCTCAAAAGGCCGGGTGATGTAATCGGATAAGCTGCGCTTCACTAATTTACTCACAATCGGCAGCCTCCCTCGGTTTGCTGTAATGTGCAGAACTCACCTCTCAACCGAAGTAAGGTTCAATCGTTGTAAAAATTATTATTTTCTTTATTCACTGGGTATATCAGGTATTGCGCCAATGGTGCAGAAGACATTGAGAACATTGTGGCAAACAACCTTGTTTTCACTTATTCGTGATCTTGACACGATATGACGTTAATATACTTATTGGTACCGGGAAGGGGATGAAATATTACAGCCGTGATGGTTCCGATTTAGTTCTAAACATCTCGGTGAATCCAAATATGCAGTTAACGTATGCAAAGCTTTTAAACTCCTATACAGGGGCTTCGATCTATGTAACTGAGTGCAGTGAACCATCACATCCTACACTTGACCAAAGCTGTAAGTATTCGGATTCAAATCTTCGGCCCCCTCTGAGTAAGGAAAATATTTATGTAAACAGCCTACACTATCCCAGTTCATCTCCCCCAACTACTCGTGACTAATATCACACATGCACAAGCGTATGCGGGGAAATCTGAACCAATGGGACTGTAATTCGTCACCCCTCCATGTGTTGATAATCATGTTTATTATTATATCATGTCATGACAACCTAAAACTGAAACCGATCTTGTTTGTCACACCTTAATGTTCTCGGTATATTAGGTGCATTTTGGTATCGATTTTTAGAAACAGGTAAAAGAACCATTAACCAAATGCTCTGCTTTGCTTTGTGGCAATACAGTAAACAAAGAAAATGGAATATTTTCACACAATGCATTGCTGTTACCCAACAGAGTCGCTGAAGTAATACCATGTCCTGAAGCGTAAACCAAATTTACCATATCTCCATGCAATTGAACAGATGTTTTCTACACCAAACTGTGAATTTACACGTGATCAAAATGATTAATAGTACGTTTCTGTGATTTTCCGCATGAAAAATGTTTGTTAAGCTGACAGCATTACAGTGCGACGTACCACTGATAATAATAATAATTAATTTTGCTCCTTTTCGCTCCACTGGCTTGATGTATATAGTGATCTGGAAACCAATCAAAGGGGGCTTTGCCTGAATTCATTAGATTTACCACCGCTTGAAAGTTTTATCCAGACTAAACCTTTGCATTTGAGCCATTCTTTTAAAATGCTATAAACCCATTTGATGTACGGTGATTGTAACAAAAATAAAGAGCACACCTGAGGATATGGTTTAAAGCATCAGTTTACTAGGGATTCAAGTCACACGAATTGTTATCTTTAAACTATAAACATTATTTCATTATTAGTTTGAATAGTAATGACCTTTTCCCAAAGGATTTTTTTCAATAAAAAGTGAAACCTGATTATCTCTTATTAGAGAAAGAACTCTTCAAAAGGTCAAACAGTTTGGATCCAAGATTTGTTCAGTTGCTTGTTATTTACCTCGTTATTTTGAAAGAAATCAGATTCCTATCAAACAAAGATACTCAGGAAAGCCGTAGCACAAACCAATGAGATCTAAACCCTAATGAAATAGAAAAACAAGTGTTGTTGTTCGAGGTCCTTGTTTTATCAGATTGATTGGTATCCTCTCTGACATCGTGAGCATCTTTAGTTAAGTTTTGATCACATCCGGATGAATATATTTTCACTGAATAGCAAACAAAGAATGCGACAAACTGTCCCAATGTCTGGTGGATTGGCGTGCTTGAGTCCTATTTGTGATTTCCGGGCTCGGGCTTCTCAGTTGAAATACTGTTGATTGCACCAAATTGTAAGAGAGTTGGTTTTGATAAACTAACTGTTGTGCGAGAAGACCTTTGTTGATTTCCAATCTTGGTCGAATGTGCTCATCGAATGCATTTGAAGGAGATTGGGTGAAAGACAAACCAGTGTTTACCCAAAAAGACTCACTGATCATTGTACTAGTAAGAGAACACATTAGAACATAACCTATTGAAAGAAGTTCCACATTTTTACTGGTAGAGAATTTCTGATGCAAGACACCTGTAATGAACAGCTGGATGTATTGGAGCTCGGGTCCGCAATATGACGATCGTTTTCGAAATGAGGAAAACATGAAGTCCGTTTAATCTGTATCGGTATACTTCCACAGATGGGCTTTAAATGGTACCCGAATCTTCCCGAAAACGGACTGTATGCGTAACAATTAATAAAGGGCTTTTTGAGTGACTAAAATGCAACCGAGAGGGGTACATTACCAAAAGACCTGATTAAATTTCTCGGCAGACCTTTTGATTTGGCAAGAATCAAATGACCCATGATAAATATGCGCCTAAATAGGTAATAGGTTGAGAATAAAATAACTAGCAAAAGAAATAGTTTTAAGACCAAGAAGGAGAAGTAATAATCAGCGATTTTATTTAGTGCACAATCGCAGAGTGTATTTTTACTTTTTTATTTCCCAATGTTTATTTTTAAGCTGCCCGACAAACCCAACCCCTTTAATCTCAGTAGTTTTCTGGCCAACATCAAATTTCTGTGTCGTTCATCAATATTTCATTAGAAGATTTGTGGAAGTCACAAGATGTTCCCCATTACTCGTCAAATGAAGCGATAAAACAAAACCGGAATTTCTCAATTCTTCAAGTAAACGCTTTGCTTCCCAACATTCCGGTCTTCCGCGAGTCCTGTACCAACAGGTTTGAACAATTCCGGTTGTATAACTAGCCGAGACGCTGATTTCGTTCGTCCCTCAAAACTCGAATTAACTCTGGGTTTATTAGTTAGGTAGAAAGCTTTCCGGTACCAACAATGTTTTGCCGTAACGGGGAACTGCCTACATGATCTGTAAATCAAGCCAGTTTGACCTTGAAACCCTTCTGTAAGAATGTTACAAATGTATTCATGGTGCAAATCAATGTTTTAAGAAAACAAAACAATGAATTCCTGACTCCTTTCGTTTAGGAAAGAAGTTTCTGCTCGCGATTAAGGGTTTCTCAGCTCGATCGTCTTTTCGTTTCTTTCAAGACTTGAACATTCTGCTAAAAGATATTTTCTTCGCATCTTTTCTAACCGCAACA